ACCAAAATATTGAATATAATATTACTGGCTTTTTAAAACCTGAGAAATATTGTAAATTGTAACATTTGTCTCTTCGTCTCTAAGGGTATCCGACCGCTGGGCTAAGATCAGTGCAGATTTGTCCCTTTTGTAAGGGATCCAGAAATTAAAATTGGAAAAGTAACAAGCACATGTGATTGAGCATATTTTTACACAACTTAAATAATGATTCTAAAAATAAAGGTAATGTATCTCTGTTCTAAGTGAAAATTTGGTACAAGTTAAATTTTATTTTTTATTTAAAATGAATACAAAATTGTTTGCATACTGTACAATTGCATACATTTTTATGTAAAACAATAAATAGATATGGTGTATTTTGTTATGAGGTGTTCGATTCGTTTTTATTTGAGCTATTCTGTTAAGTTATTTCCCTTGCATTGTAAAAGTGTGTCCCTTCTTTATGGGATATAGAGATAATCTTAAATAAAAGGATTTTAATGTAGTAATGCATCGTTTTTTTTTTTTTTTTTTTTTTTACTTAGAGATCTTTAAAAAAAATAAGTAAAAAATTATTCTGAGTGAAAACGATATTTAAGATAAAGGTTGAAAAATCGATATTACTATAGGACATTGTGATTTATATATAACTAGTGTGCCCTTCCCGCGCGTTAATGCGATCTTAAAAGTTTAAACAAATTAAAGAAACACATTGTGAAATTAATGATGACATTACATTTACATTTTTTATTGAAACTTATCATTCCTTTAAAAAAGGAAGTATTATTACATTTAATTTGCATCTTCAAAAATGTATAAACTAATTTTATACGGAAAAATATTCAGTTTCTGGCAGTGTTTCTTCCAGACTTTTTTCTTCGGGGGGGGGGGGGGGGACGACACTGTTAAAATATATATTTTCTATAAAAATTTCGTTTCGTTCGGCGCGGGGGGGGGGGGGGGGGGGGTTAGACTTTTTTTGGGTAGCTTAGCCCCCCCCCCCCCCCCCCCCCGAAGTGATGCCTGGATAATTTTCTATTTTTAGACAAGGCTTTGTTTGTGTGGTGTCTCTTGTTTCTAAGAATGGCCTGCATGCACGTACAAAAGTAACTTTTCACATTGGCTATTTCCAGTCTGGTAACACGAGGAGTGGTAAATACAAAAAAACTTTTTGTAGAAGTAGATAAATAAAGGGGTTATACGTAATGGTTTATTTTCGTTAGCAGCACCAGACCAGAGTCGTAGCGAGGGGGGGGGGTTGTATATGTTCCCGGGCGCCGACCTTAGGGGGCGCCAAAATGGGTTGGAAAAACAAATTAAAATCTCATTTTAGCAGCGATTTTGAATTACAAATATAAAAAATATACGGGGAGGGGGGGGGGTGGTGATAATAGAAAGTTTGAGGGGGGGTTGCAAATTAAAAGTTTGTCCCAAGGCGCCGGGAAGGGTGCAACGCCTCTGCACCAGACTAGCGGTTGTGGCGTCACTCGAAAAGTTTTAGCAATTGGTTATTGCTACACAGTTCAACATAAGTTAATTAAGGTAACCCTATCCTTTTAATTAATTGTAATATATTTGAAAGTTAATACTGTATCACGACGCCCGCATTGTACCAATGTGTTTACATGTGTAACCGAGGGTGTGATGGTTTTATAATTCGTGGTTGTTTGTGTATGTTTCTCGTTTCTATCCTGCCGACGACGCCAAATGTGACAGACGTGTGACGTACCTTGATAGGTTGTGTTGTACCCCTTCTCGCAGCACCTAGATACGACAGAGGTGTCTTACCACCTGTTGTGTAGGTATTTGTCCACGACTTAGGAATTCTGACGTTAGGCTGTGGACACCTCATTCGGCATTGACATATCCGATTTGTCTAAAGAATCACACTCTGACTGCAGGTTCGAGATTACAACACTTTATTTCTTGATGAATAATCAGTTCAAAAATAACATGAAAATCAACAGACCACCAAGGTCACTAGTCAACACACTGTATCACTCCGTATATCACGTTCTACTCACAATATTTTCTGCGAGTGCTGCACTCACTCGAGGTACTCTATGAGCGAGCTGGTCACAATCCCCAATCCAACACACCGTCATAATGCATAATTTTACAGTTTAATAAAATTTGTTGAAATATGTTTTTTTGATATTATAAATACATAAGGGGCTACCAATGTAATGATGGGAATGTGGAAAATTTAAGCAGTTAGTTCCCTTTAATCAGTGTGGGGATGAGGGTGTTTGATACGTGGGTGTATTATATTGTAAAAGGGAAAGGATACACGTCCAACACGAAATGAGGAAAGGGAGATAAGGAGTTAGGTTATGAAGGTACTATTAGCCATTGCAAAAGGGTGTAAATTGCCTTTTATTTGTCACTAGCCGACCCGCGGCGTATCATACGCCGCTATTTAGTTGTTTTATTTTCTACTTTTCAGTACTTCATAATGTGTGAATTCGACAGTACCAGTGCTCCCACTGAAAAAAAATTGCTTTAAAACACTATCAGTAGGTCGTTAAGGACGATACTACCCCCAACCTCTTTTCCCCCAACCCCTACCCTACACCCCCCACCCTGAAAGCAGCCTCCTCTTAGTTACCTCCCCTAAGTTTAGAATCGTTTCAAACTAAATTATCTGCCCCTAATAGCCGTCACTAAACCCGGCTCTACGATTGTAAACATTTAGCATGAACCACAGCTCACCAGACCATGTGGGGTGGTAGGGATTTGTCTAGAAAGGAAGAGAGGGGGCTTCTAGGCGCGCTTACAGCTTGGTGTTTTCTATGGTATCTAAGAAGAGAATTATATATAGATAAGAGTTTACAGTAATACATATTTAATAGTCTACTACAATTTATCCAAAAAAGTTTTGATTCTATCATAAATACAGACATAAATATAATAATAATAAATTGGCAAAATAAATACAATAATACAAAGTGAGTTTGTTTATATAAGTTGCAGTCGGTACAACTAGTCTTTACAACAGAGTGTTCATTTTCTTTTCTTTGGCATAGACTAGAGTTGCCGTATATATATATATATATATATATATATATATATATATATATATATATATATATATATTACTTTGATGGTATGTTACACTTTATAAAGCTATATTTTGTAATTACATTTATACTTTTATGCCATTGAAATTTGAAGGTTAAGCCCTAATACAAAACAGACGTGTCATTTTAAAATACATTTTTAATTAACTACTGCTTACAAACATTTTTTTTTAAAGTGTGGTCTTCTTTCCAACGAAACGTTATAGAAACATGGGGTGATACAACTTAATACAAGCGAGTTACTTCTCGGAGGCGGTGATAAAACGAATTACCTCCCATGTACATATTATTATTTTTTCCTTGTTTTTATTTGCAGGGGAAATAATGTCATTATAATTTGTTTTTTAAATTCTAGATTGTAATTTTAAAAACAAAAACTTAATCAGGTTTCAATTTTATCAAAAGTTCTTAATGTAATTTTTTTTTTAAATCTGAAAACATCAATTGTGTATATTGTTTTTACTTTGTATTTAAATATTTCCCTTTTTTTAGAAAATAAACACCCCTTTATTTTTTGAGTTAAATTTTAGAATAAATATGAATTTTTCTTAGCTTTAATTATAACTAGCTTAAACAATTGTTTTCAAATTTTGGATCCCCATTGAATGGGGACTCTCAACAAAATGACAAACAATCCCTTGTAGCTTAAACCAGGGGTCGGCAACCTTTTGAGACGAAAGAGCCAAAAGTTACAATTTTCAAAATTTTCCAGATTTTAAAGAGCCACTAACATTTTTTTATTTCATTATTTTATTCTTTGATTAGGATTTGGAAAATAAATTTGATTTATTATTTACAATAAATAGCTTTATATATGAAATAATATTTATTGATATAAAAACATACACTTGTTCGCCAGAATAATAAAATTAGTAATAAAGAATAAAAATATAGGACTGTCCCAATCCACTTAGGAACTGTTAACTTTTTCCCTTCTTTACGGACATCACCAGCACAGGAGCTGTCTTAAATTAGCCAGGCAGGCATCAACACGGCAAACTCCGACTAACTGGCTTGGATATTCGTTTGATTACCGTGTATCGGTCACTTCTGTCATTTAGTTCTCATCAGGCTTATCTTCCACCCCACTAGACGCAGGGTAAACTCGTACCACACTATCCTGTTTCCGGCTCAACAGTAGGAAGCTAATAACTAAAAAAAACTACGTCACTCACGTCAATTAGTGATTACTGACGAAAAAGGAAATGCATTTTAAATAAAATAACATTCCCCATTTAACGATATTCGAAAACGTCGGCATTCGGGCAGTGGCAAGCATGGAATTGTTGCCACGGGGCTGTCCACAGTACGGCTGTGGGGCTAGGCCTGGTGCCCAAGCGGCTGTCCGTATATTTTCTACTGCACCTATTCTCTATGCTCTCTGATGAGTGTTTTTTTTTCTTCTGTTTAAACTTGTTTTTTTTTACAGTATAATTTTTGGTATGAGTTTTGAAAATGAAATAATATAAATATTAATATTTGTGCAAGGAGCTGGAGAGCCACATCTTGACATCAGAAGAGTCGACCCCTGGCTTAAACTCATCTACTATGGCTGTTGGGTTCTTCAGTCTAGGGGTTTATATATAACAACAGACAAATACGACGTATACAACAATAACACTAACACTCTATAATAACAATAATAATAAGATATTTAATAATATATACAGTACTAAAATAATAAAAGGATCAAAAGGGGTCTACAACATAAATACAATACTCAACACCACGTTCCACGTCCACAGCCACACTACAACTAACTGATTCACACACTGACACACGCTCTGACACCCATCACCTGAAACACCTCACGTGAACACTTTTCGCTCCATGTAAACACACTCAACCAAGGGATACAACTATACACCAAAGGGAGGGTACCTGTCGTTCCAGCACACAACACACACACACACAAGCAGGGGACATGTAAGGGACGTAACAATGGCCAAAGTCAAGGCTAAGGAACTCCGTGGCAAAAAGAAGGAAGAACTTCTGAAACAGCTCAATGAGCTAAAAAATGAACTACAGACTCCTCGTGTTGCCAAAGTAACTGGTGGAGCTAAGATCTACACTGTGCGCAAATCAGTTGCTGGTGTCCTCACTGTCATCAAACAGACACATAAGGATAACCTAGGTAAAATTCTACCAGAAGGATAACCTAGGTAAATTCTACCATAAGAAGGCTCACAAACCCAATGACCTGAGACAAAAGAAGACCAGGGCAATGAGACGTGCACTCACACCTTATGAACTCACCTGCAAGAGTAAAAAGGAGTTACGAAAACAGCGTCTTTATCCAATTAGAAAGTATGCTGTAAAGTATTAAAGTTGTATGCTTTGAAATTAAAACAAAATTAAAAAATGAAATGCGTTTACTTCTTTGTTCATCAGTGGATGCAATGTGCGTGCTGTTAATACCTCCTTAACTATTTTTATTAAGACTAAACCTACTTAGAGCTATCTTAGTAAGGATGTTCGTCAGACACTCCTTACAACAACGTCGATTAACTACACTCAACGATTAACTCGACTACTCGATATTCACAAATAAACGTTACTCAAAAACACTATTCAAGTAATGTAATGTACACTATGTAAAAAAGTAAAGTTTCCCTTTCAAACCTGACTGTCTATGGGGCAAGTGAAGTAGAGTTCACTTGTTTCTGTGACCTCGGCATATGAAGAAATAGTGTGGTCAGCACTATGCCAAGCCGCATTTACTTTCCCTAACGTGATTTAGGTACTCATCAGAGTTGGGTGGACTCGATATTCGCGAACTAACATTACTCATAAACACTTTTCAGGTAATGTATACTATGTAATACTATATACTATGTACTTGATACAATCATCTCACGATTACTCATATCTCGATTACTAAAATAAAATGTATGACATCTAAGATATGCGATCAACTCGATACTCCCAACTTACGATTACACAACTCTCAACTTACGATTATATTACCCTCTATAACTAAAGACTAGTCAACTTTTCAACACTACGACACCACCTCACCTCTTCAAGCTCTACTCCCAACGAAAAAAGTCTCACCGTAGCAAGTCACTACAAAACTGTAGCCAATCACTCTTCGATACCTTATCACCAAACTCGTTACACCATAACTACGACACCACCTCCGTATTACATCGTTGTTGTGATACCTTATCACCAAACTCGTTACACCATAAGTACGACACCACCTCCGTATTACATCGTTGTTGTGATACCTTATCATCAAACTCGTTACACCATAACTACGACACCACCTCCGTATTACATCGTTGTTGTGATACCTTATCACCAAACTCGTTACACCATAAGTACGACACCACCTCCGTATTACATCGTTGTTGTGATACCTTATCACCAAACTCGTTACACCATAACTACGACACCACCTCCGTATTTTTTTTTACATCGTTGTTGTTATACCTTATCACCAAACTCGTTACACCATAACTACGACACCACCTCCGTATTACATCGTTGTTGTGATGCCTTATCACCAAACTCGTTACACCATAATTACGACACCACCTCCGTATTACATCGTTGATGTGATACCTTATCACCAAACTCGTTACACCATAACTACGACACCACCTCCGTATTACATCGTTGTTGTGATACCTTATCACCAAACTCGTTACACCATAACTACGACACCACCTCCGTATTACATCGTTGTTGTGATACCTTATCACCAAACTCGTTACACCATAACTACGACACCACCTCCTTATTGCATCGTTGTTGTGATACCTTATCACCAAACTCATTACACCATAACTACGACACCACCTCCGTATTAGATAGATAGATAGACAGATAGAAACATACACAGACAGCGAATTTATTATTATAGACCAGAAAAATGGCCCGTTGAGGAAGGATACAACGGGCGCTATGTTGATAGTGTTGTCTCTTTTCTCCAAACTAAAACCAATACCAAAATCACCACCTTAATTCAATTTAACCGGAAACGAAAAATAACATTGAAAAAGGATTTTTATCCAGAATCGGTACTTTAATAGGATTTAATCTTGATCTCTACGTAGTTACTGCACATTGATACTAAATATAGTTGCAGCCATACTCCTAAACCTTGCAACTAATCTCAATCATGACAAAAGTCGCATTTAGAGCTTCATTTAGGCGACTCTATTTGCCCCCCCCCCCCCCCCCCCCCACACACACCTCAAAGCTCATCTACCGTCCCATTCATCGAAATAGAATTTAAATAGAAAATATACGTCACCAGTGTACGCCCCCTGCCAGAAAATTTAGTCCACACGCACCCCCGAACATTTCAAGTACCCCCCCCCCCCTCAGGGAAGGAAAAAGTCTGAAAGAAACACTGTTTGTTGATCATTCAGATTAAATGTAAAGCCTACTTATAAAATGTAGACCTCGTTTCCTACTTTTGGCCGACAAACCTCACTCTGGAAGACAGTGTTTTTCAGATATTTTTCTGGGGGTGGGGCACTTTGAATTTTTGCAGAGGCGAATAAAATTATCCGGGGCGGGGGAGCCCGACACTGGTAAAAGTATAACATATTTCCTATATACATTATATTCCGTTTTTTTTAAGGCGGAAGGATTAGACGTTCTACCGGGGGGGGGAGGGAGGGTTAAATGGGCTTCGCATAAAAGAAACTCTGCAAGAAAACCACTTTTTAGATTAGACACATTAATTAGGCGGTAATTGACGACTTTTCTTTTGCGTTGGGGGGGGGGGGGGGCTTAGACGTTCTTACGCGAAGGTGGGGCTTGGCCCCTACCCGAAGAATTGTATGAAAGAAACTCTTAACACAAACCACTTGGATTAGACAAAATTGCCTTTTTATTCAATGATTACTCGAGAATCAATGACGTCATATTATTGTGAGCACTCCCCCGGCATAAGACTGCTATATGCTCCCTAGGACGTCATGTTTCGTTTTCGTTTTACTATGAAAGTTTTTATTTTGCTTGTGTTTTCTCTATAGTGTTCTTGTCAGATAGATAGATAGATAAACAGACAGACAGCGAAATTATCATTATAGATGTATCCTTTACAGAAGGGACACAATTTTTAAATGCAAGGGAAATAGCTTAACAAAAATAGCTCAAACAAATACGAATCGAACAACTCATAACTAATGCACAATGTCTATTTACTGTTTTACTTATAAAATGAATAAATTATTCTGTGGGCAAACAATTGTGTACTAGTTATGGATAAAATAAAATACAACTTGTACCATATTTTCACTTAGAATTAATAAACATTAGCTTTATTTTAAGAATAATTATTTAAGTAGTGTTAAAATTTGTTTAGTCATAGGGATCTTTCTTACAGTTTGTTTATTTCTGGATTCCTTACATAAGGGACTAATTAAAATAAAATAAGCGGCATCGTTAGGTTTGGTGTGGAAAACATACCACCAAACATCTTATATGTTTTATCAAGCATGATCAAAAAATATTTAATAATAGAGTACACTTATGTATTTTGGGTATTTAGTGACTTTTTCTGACATTCTCTTATAGAAACGGTATTTGCTCTTGTCTTTCTTGTCTTTATGAATTTTACAAAAAACTATTTTCGATAATGAACAAGAAACCAAGTTTGACGATAGATGAGTCAAAAGAGCCCAGTTTTGCATCCTTGCCCAATTCGTGTGTGTGTGTGTGTGTGCGTGCGTGCGTGCGTGCGCGTGCGCGTGAGTGTGAGTGTGCGTGTGTGTCACGATAACTTGAGTACTGTTACAGCTCGGTTGATGAAATTTCACATATAGATATTATATGAAACGAGCCGACCCGCAACATATCATACGCCGCTATTTAGTTGTTGTTTTTTTTTTCTACTTATCAGTAATTCATAATTTGTGAATTCGACAGTACAAACGCTGCCACTGAAAATATTTCTTTAAAACACAATAAGTAGCTCGTTAACACGATAACACCCCCCCCCCCCCCCCTTACGTTAAAGTAAACTCCACTTAGTTCCCCCCCCCCCCCACTAAGTTTAAAATCGTTTCAAACTAAATTATTTGCCCCTAATAGTCGTCACTAAACCCGGCTCTGCTTGTAAACATACATTTAGCGTGAACCACAGCTAACCAGACCATGTAGGGGTGGTGGTGGTCTCCCAGAAGAGAATTATATATATATATAGATGTGTAGATCCGAACTATTATACACAATGTTTTTTTCGTTCACTTGGTGTGCCATTCTTTATTACGAGATTGTATTCTATTTTAAAAGTTTAATGGTTTCAATTATTTTGTTAAATTATGTCCCTTGAATTTAGAATTGAGTACCTTCTGTAATGAATCCATGAATCACCTTGTAGTTAAGTATCGTTGTTACTTTCTAAAATAACTATAATTTAAATAAATCTTGTTTCTTTATTCTGTGTGAAAAAATATATAATATAAATCTTTAAATAATCGATATTACTGCACGATTTGGTGATTTCTATAAAATTATGTAAATTAAAGTATTTAAAAAAAACAAAAAAAAAAAACAAACTCTGTACTGCATCATCTACATTTCGAATCATGTTGCATTAATTTTTAAATTTAAATATTCGCCTTTTTGAAGTAAAAGTGTTTTTTTTTAAAATGTTTTTCTAGCAATTTTTTTTTACCACGTAAAGTTGACAAACTAAAATCCAGAAATATCCAGAAGCAAGTTGAGAGCAAGTCAACTGAACTGGATAACTAATTTTAAATCGAAGCTAATGCGATTGTTCAATAATTGAAAGTAAGAATTAAATAACATTTCTTAGAAAATAAGTGTTGGTGAGTCTAACATGTAATATGTAAGTGTTGGTGAGACCAACATGTTATAGGTAAGTGTTGGTGAGTCCAACATGTTATATGCAAGTGTTGGTGAGTCCAACATGATATATGTAAGTGTTGGTGAGTCCAATATGTTATATGTAAGTGTTGGTGAGTCCAACATGATATATGTAAGTATTGGTGAGTCCAACATGATATATGTAAGTATTGGTGAGTCCAACATGTTATATGTAAGTGTTGGTGAGTCCAACATGTTATATGTAAGTGTTGGTGAGTCCAACATGATATATGTAAGTGTTGGTGAGTCCAACATGATATATGTAAGTGTTGGTGAGTCCAGCATGTTATATTTAAGTGTTGGTGAGTCCAACATGATATATGTAAGTGTTGGTGAGTCCAACATGAAATATGTAAGTGTTGGTGAGTCCAGCATGTTATATGTAAGTGTTGGTGAGTCCAACATGTTATATGTAAGTGTTGGTGAGTCCAACATGTTATATGTAAATGTTGGTGAGTCCAACATGGGAGACTATAAGGTAAACATTTATTAAGAAAAC